ACATCCACCGTCCAACCTCTAGCTACTAGTCGTACAATCGCTATTGCATCCATGCGCTCCATCTATAGGGTCAGGGTGTGACCCCCAATTCGGGTCGATGGATTGGAACTGGTGATGGATTGCATTTAAATAAATCATTTGTGTTATTAACTGAACCCTTTTTTGTTAACCCTCACTTCGCCTCTTTATTATCAGGTCGAATTTTCATCTATGACTTGATTCAAAAGAAGAGCATTGTGCGTGGACGCTTTCCTTCCGGTGGATCGAAGTTAATTTGGTGCCCGACAGAGGTGAGGTTCTTGCAAAGCCTGATAATCAAAATACCCTCTAATTTTATCCTATACTTGTTGTATTAATTTTTTCAATTGCTTACTGCGAACTGGTTTCTGACGCACTCGACATCTTGATTGAGAGGTGCAACCAAATATGGAATAATTCTATTATTCCATTTTGGCTACTTGTGAGTAGCTTATCACATACCTATTTATGCTAACTATACCTTTTCAACTTCAAGTGAATCCGCCGTAACTTCATGTGAATCCACCGTAACTTCAAGTGAATCCGTTGTAACTTCAAGTGAATCCAACCAATCGCATTCCATTAGATACCATGACAAGATGATACAAAGAATCATGCTCACATTCACATCTGGGCATGGTGACCGACTTATCGATCCATCTTGGTGTGATTCGCTTCCTTACCGGACCGACAGAGGTCAGTTGACTCCGGGTTAGTTCATTCGTATCTATGACGCACACTCGATCAACGATCACGAACATAACGTTCCTGGGTGGAACGGGTGTGTGGGGGAGGCGGGGAGAGAACGGCCCACCTCGACCCACCCACCACCCTACCGAAACATTCAACCTTGCTCGGTAACTCGCGAAAAATGTACTTTTGTTTGTTTACCGAGAAATTAGTTCATTCGAACTGGAGGGGGTTTAGACGGGCCCGGTCCAATCGGTGACATTTGACGGCCAAAACACCAATCATCTTGTCGGGGTATCTAATGGAGTGCGATTGGTTGGATTCACTTGAAGTTACGGTGGATTCACTTGAAGTTACAACGGATTCACTTGAAGTTGAAAAAGTACAGAGTGGATGCATGCAAACAATTGATATATATATATATCTTTGCTTCAGTATTCACCCATCCACTCAACGTCCAACTTGTAGTCACTAGGCCATCTTTGAACTGTTGCTTCTTTGTCCCTTTGTATCGCTTTGGATTTTGTTCATTTGAGCTTGCCTAATCTGTATCCATCACCCATACTCGTCCACACCACAGAGACCAGCAATCAGCAGATGACCGCTTATAAGTCCCTCATGTTTAGCTTCTAGACCCCTTTAACGCTTCTCAGTAGGTAAATCACGAATTTTATTAAACTTATTTCCAACTAAATGGTATAGTTCTTGTTAAAATGCCTTCATATCTTTGCAGATTGATCCCAAAGGGAAAACCATTGTGGCGGGCTTCGAGGATGGTGTGGTTCGGGTGCTGCACTTCGGGGAGAATCCCGAGCCGGATCCAACCCGGAAGGCAAAACACTTCGCGTTGCTGGATCTCGGCCAGGCCTTGAAGCCACATGTGAAATCAGTCACTTCAATGGCCTATAACAAGAACGCAACTTACTTTGTAACCGGAGTGAGCAGTTTATTCCTTGTGTGATCCGCATTTGCGCTTTTTTGATTAATACGATCTCTACGCAAAAGTGATCGTGCAGTATAAATGGACCAGATTGCATCTGGGATATTGCAGCAAACTATCAATTAATTTGCCTTTAAAATTGCCATACGCCAGCATTTAAAATCAAGTGAAAATTTTTAAACAAATCACAGATTGGTAAGTTTGACAACTGATGATTTATTGTTTAGGGTGTTAGCATAAATAACTGATGCAGCTGAGTTTTTCTTTACCTCCACAACCCCTTTCGAAGTAGATGATAATAGTTGACCACGTTAACAAGTAGTAATCGTCAAATGTCTGCCGTAATCTGCTCAATAATAAACACTCCAAGGATTGATTGTTAAAATGTCTCAGTCCAATTGTAATAACGACATGGTCTGAGCTCACGTGGTGTAGTAGAACTTACAGGAATACTCGAATTGTATTCTCGGTGACTCGCGGTGAAACGAGGCTGAATGGATGACTAGCCACGAAACAACGACAATACAGGCGACATTGAAAATGGGAACAAGGGACTGCGTGGAACCACTTGTAGACAGGTCCTCGTTGAACGACAGTTTATAAAAATCCTGCATGGCGCGAGAAGCAAAACGCCAGAAACTCAAAGATTTAATGAGCTCCAAAAGCGCACTCATTATTTACTGGTGAGGGTCACCTTGCAAACCTTACTGCGTTTGACATGATGTGACATGACATAATATGTAATCACCAGCAGTTAATGATCAGCCGAGAGACGATCAAGAAACCATAAACCAAACAACAAAACTCAAGACCAGATCAATAGAAACGTCCAGCAAACCAGGAAGTGTGGGCTAATAAGAACCAAATGAAATCGGATGAGTTGAATTTAATTCACTTCGTACGACTGGGTATGGTTCCTGTCTTTCATAAGCCCCATCTATGGTTATCCAATATGCGCACTATCGAGAGATTTGGTGTGTGTGTGTGTATGTGATGAACTCTGCCACTCCAACTGTCCTCTCCAGAATCACGGGTCGATGAACATCGGATTCTTCAGGATGAGCTCGTCCGCTGTCACCTATGGGTTCTAGCGTAAAACCATTGGCAAAGCTTTTGTGAAGGCAAATAAAAAAATGATTACGATTTAGCTGATAATGATCAAGCCTATTCATGTGATAGCATTGGTAACTTCACACCTCAATCTGCGTGATCCCGTAGTTTTACATGCAACAGTGCTAATGACGGTCGGTTTATTCGTTCTACCTGTCAGAGTGAGGACGAAACGATATTCTTCTTCTCGGTCAGTGGGAAGATGCTCAGCCCGATCGGGTTCTTCAATGTTGGAGGCGCCGTGGCCAAAGTTGAATGGATTCCAAGCAGGGATGAAGAGCGTGGTGATGTTCTGGTTTATCTGCGTCTGGGATGTGTGATCAAGGTGAGTCATGTGTTCGCAGGCATCTTGACGCAAGAATGAGAACCAGATTGAAGAGGCTGCGGAAAAGGATGGTTAGGTGGTCGCATTTTTTCAGTTTATCTTATATTGCCCTGAGATTCAGAAGCACCAATAAAAATCCTGACGTTGTTTGGTGGTTGATACTTGCATCAACAACATTATCCCACATTTACTCATGACTGTAGTTTGCTGACAGCATTTCAAATGATTTAGCTGCCTGGTATGAATCCAAATTAATATATTTGTCCAAAGATAGAGTATGCACCTTGGTCGCTAAATTCCGTGAAAAACATTAGTAGTATGTTTAAATGAGTACCCTAATCCATAAACCATTTGTTTCTGATTGAGCTGAGATGAGGTAAAATCAATAATAACACGCTTTCCCCGAGGTAATGACTTTTTTAGGCAAAGCACATCGGAGCAGCGGTCGGTATTCGACGGCAGTTGGTGCCTAAATGTATTTGAGGCAACCCGGAGGATCGTGGGAATGTGTGAAAACCTGAAGAAACGTGATGATCGCGTCTGGATCAAAATCAAATTCCAGAATATGCCCATTATGACAGAAGAACACACGTTCAGAAGTGAACAATTGTTTTTGTTTATTCATCTTCTAGCCTGCACAAATCAAACAAGGAAATGGCATGTTAAACGAGGACAGAAATTCAGTCATTCAAAAGTCACAGTGATTAGTTGAAAGAGGGAAGATGGGCGGTGAGTGGTGCGACGTGTTTCATGACCCTAGATCATCACAACACTGAAATCAGGTTGTTGTGGTGACCTAGGGACGTGAAACACGTCGCACCACTGACCTTCCCCCCTCCCATGTCCTCTCCCTTTCAACCAATTACCGTGGCTTTTGAATGACTGAATGCCTATCCTTGTTCAACATGCCATTTGCTTATTTGATCTATACAGATTGGAAGATGAATCAATGAAAACGATTGTTCGCCTCTGATCGTGTGTTCCCAAAATCGAATTATTAACTTTTCCGCTTGTAGTCCCCAAAGGTACTGGGTCGTTACGCATCAATCAACTTTCTGCACAGTTGAATTTTCGTCCAACATCATCATTACTCCAATTCTATGGCCAACGAACAAGGGCGACGGGTTGAGAAGAACAATGATTCAATACCGAGAGCCATCAAGAATAGAACTTGGATGATATAACCAAAAATCCAACTGCCTCTTACTAGAAGAGAAGTGGGTCTCTTAGAGACGTCATAGATGCCTTAGGTACGCAGTGAACCACTAATCATATTGAAGCAAAGTGATGAGACTGACTCTCCAGCAGCGGGATTAATCAGTCTTATTTCACTACCGGAAAACTGTCTTCTCTCCTAAATTACCGCCACCAAATCGCGTCTATTTGTGAGCTGTTCCAATGCTCAGCGGAATAATTAAATAAATATTATTTTCCTATTCCATCTGAGCTATAAAAACTGTAGTTTGTCCAAACAAATTCAAAATTTTGGCTTACGATCGTGAGGCTAGGGTAGTCGACGTCTCATGTCTGTGTCAAAAGTAGGTTGATCTTGATGAAATTTACCTATTGCATATTACACTTAAAACTATACTGCAGCCTCAACAGATTCGACCGACGTATTCAATTTTACTATTGCTCTTTCAGTTTATACCCCAACTAACGAACTAACAATTGAATGTTCACTGAAACCTCTCCGAGGTCATTTGCTTCTTTGCATCACCGTGAAGTATGTGACAGTTTGTGTGACTCAATCCTGTTTGATGCGTCGTATTCTCTACATCCGACCCTATTTCAGACCATCTCTACTCCTGTCATCCTAAAAAACTCAAACCTTTGGACATTCACACCATAGCTTCTCAGGATTAACCTGTCTCTTATATTGTCTGTTTATTGGTTTACGGGGGAGGACTGTGAAATAAACTGAAACATAATCTCATGCAGTTCATGCTACAGTTCCTGCTTCCACTGCACCTTCTCATTGTCCATCATCATTGTCTTTCAACGAATATTACATTACTAGGTCGTTTTTATTAGCATGTACACCAAAACAGAGGCGATCAAGTTTTTGATTTGAAATATTTTGTTTTCCGAGAGAAACTTTCGGGCTGGGTTTCACGACTAATGCCAAGGCGGATTTTGCTGCATCTCAACCGGTACAGTACGGGAGAAAACTACAGTTCATATCACTGAAAAGTACACCAGGTTACGCACGAATACGACAGGGGCGAAGCATCACATTTCTACCACTGTCAAGGCAGTGATATCGTGACTGTCACGTGACTGTTTGCACATACAAGCCAGGTTTTCATCTCCTTTATGCAACCGAATCCGCGAATCTAAACAGCCGGGGATTTGGGCATAAATAATCCTAAATGGGCTTGTCCAGTCCGGACCATGATGCGCCATCAACTGATGTTGAATGACAAACGACGCAGATTACCTGTGTTTTCGGTCTCCTTGGTTAATGGTTGAGGTTGGTGATAGTGTAATGTTATTGAGTACGCTTGTATATAAATTAAAAATAAATGTGATTGGTTCTTTGAGGTTAGATGGGAAAGAAAAATCATATCTGTCTAGTTGTACAGGGTCAAATGGAGAAAGGGGGACCAAGGTCACTTATGAAAATTTCCGATGATCTTTTTCACGTGCGACGTGTCAATAAACCAATCACCCTTTTTTCTTTCTTGTATATAAACACACAACTGTGAATGCTTGAAGATGAATTAAGGAAAGCACGTATATTCGCTATATTGTATGTCTTTTGATATTCTTGTAAGAATCTTCCATGATTTATTGAATGTGTTAGTACGTGGGTTATACGTGGAAGTGGGTTTGAGNTTTGAGATCAATTTGGAGAAAGACCTTGGATCATGTGATTTGGTTAATCGCGTCTAACCCAATACGGGGTGTGTTCTTGGATTCAACTAAGACGCTCCGCATTCCCATTCAAACTGGAAAATGACCGTATAAACTGTCGTTTTCTGCTGTATTGTACCAGTTGAAATTCAAAGAAATCTGCCCTGGGATGACGATTTTCACTGAAAATTTTGTCCACAATGGAGTGCTTGACTGGATTTGATAGGAAGAACTTCCCAAAAGTGTCCGGTGGAATTTTGGTCAAAACTCCATCAGTAATTACCGGAAATAAATCCCTATTTATATCTTTCGCCTCAACTGTACAAGCGGTTATCGGGGCAAACAACAAAACTAAAATCAGTGATTCAAATTCAGATCAATAAAATGTAGTTCAATTCCATAGATTTTAACTGTCCTCGGAGAATTGTGTCCATCCTTTAACTCTACCAACGCACCACATCGAAACTTAAGAATTTTATTTCGGTTTCGTTTCACATGTCTGTCTATCCCATTTAAGGTTTCATGTCCCTCAATGGACGAAGTCGACCACAGCAAGTCCTTCATGCTTGCGAATATTCAACCTACTGGTGGATTCAATCTGTTGAGTATCAAATCTCGTCTACTGCATGATGAGGATTCTGCAGAGAAATTACGGCGTTATGAAAACGAGAAGAAAAACCGAATGGAAATACGCAAAGCTCGAGCTGAACGTGAGCCGGAAACAGAGGAGGACGCACAACGTTTGGATGACGGTGAGTTTGAGAGCAGATTGGGTCTAACTAATACCTTTGTGTGTGCATTCCACAACCGTAGGAGACATGTGAATGTCTGTGTGTGAATTCCTTGGGGGGTATATTTGAGAGAGGTGGAGTGGGAATCAGTTCAACCATGGTATGTTATGCATGAGTGAATAAACTAATTTACCCCTGAAGAACATGTCCGGTTTCCTGACTTTTGCCGCTTACTTGGCATACGTATCCAGTAGTCCACGATCAAATCATTCATTCACTTATACTTCGGGAATAAATTTCGCTTTTATATTTCTGAAATTTCTCCCACTATTTATGCATAACTTGTCACAGATGCCTCCCTCAGAATAATGAACGCGACCGTTTGAGTAGACAGAGTACTTCAAAGAATATCAGCGCACTCTATGATAGGCTAATTAACTCCAACCTAAATTCGAATTCCTGATCTTCTTTGATTATTTTGGAATCAACCTTAATTTGTAATGCAACATTCTTTTTCCCTTGGAGACTGTTGCATTCACTCCAATCTATTCGTTTCCGGGCTACTAAGACCCTTTCCTGCAATAAGTGACATACCTCCGGATCCATGAACCTCAGCTATTTAAAGCTTCCATCATGTGCACAATGGTGTTGAACTTGCGGATAAAAGCCGTTGTAAAGCTTGGTAAACATTTATACGGATTTCTAAAATTAAAATCGCCAACCGCTCAACTAGATTTGAAAATTGTCACTGTTTGCATCTCAGCTGTATTCATAGTGCCTTTAATACACTTAATCTTCCCTCTACTGTTTCATCTAAATGAGATCCAAAAGGTGGCAACTAAAATAGCCTCACAGAAGTACATGATTAATGTCCGTATTCAATGAAAATTGCTGTCAACCCAGTTTTCTATTGAATTGCTTATAGCTGTTTCGGACGAATTCCAGTTAATCCTTTTTGACAACCAAAGAAAAGTCACGCGATAGACTCCATTGCATTTACTGAACAAGTGTTTAAATATTCAGATTTATTCAAATTCTACAACTTATTGCCTTTAATCTGCGAAAAGTATTAACCGCACAAGGAGAGAAAAACCAGTTCCCTTTGTTTTATAATAAGTTGAATAGTTTGCCTACTCTGCCGTATCACACATGCTGTATTGTGAAACCATGCATTTTTGGCCTCACAGAAGAAGAACTGATTCGTCAAGGTGTGATGTCCGAGATCGCAGACTGGGCACCGACTTATCCATCTGAACCATCACCGATTGCTTACGGCACTTTGGATCCGAATGATCCAAACTATTTTTGGGTTTCAATGGTGAGTCACATTTTTCCGGAAGGGATTAATAAAATATATAATTCATAAAACAAAACTATCCTCTTATACAAATGTTTCGACCATATCTATATAACAAAGAGGGAAGTTTGTTGTATAAATCTGTATAGTTTATTTTATAAACACTTTGTAACTTATTGTCCAATAATCATACGAAGTTACAGAATAATTAATCAAAACTAAATTAGTGTTGGAGGGATTACAACCTGGTGGGCCACGTACTACGTGGTACAGTTTCCTCTTTGAGTTTGTGATCGGTTTATCGATGCATAGATCGTAGTTATAGATGTTTCAGATGCACATCAAATGTGGTATTTTCCAAAAGAAATTTAGATCCACGACAAGCGGTTTTTAAAGTGATTTCAACACATCAGTACGAACGATACGTCGCATACTCGCATTTTTCTCCTCGATGAAACACGATAGTACAAGAGGAAGCATATTATGAACAACTTTACAAAAGAGTATTTATTTTGGACTGAATCTCGCGTAACACGGAAAAATAAACAGAAAGTTGTCTACTTGAGTGACAATACCATGTATTTCAGTTTAATGGGCTGAACTTGTGGGATGTTTTTCGGTTTGATCAGTGGAGAGAATAATGGTATTTCAGTGTAAATGGATACATGATGAAAATCGGTGATAGTATGGGCCACCTTCTCGATTACCGGCCTAACCGCTGGGCGCAAGATTCCGCTGAACTTAATATTATATTGGAGTGCCCCTTCTGATGGCAATAACGTTGGATAAGTATATAGGATCCATTTTACAGCATCCTTATGACGGGGTCTATAAATCATTTCTGGCAAACTGTTTTTTCGTGGGTATTAGTATAACAAATGGCACAATCTGAACTCAGCCCCAACAACATCCGGGTCATTCCTACAAGAAGTGCTACCGAGACGCAAGAATTTACAAAAAGCAAACCAAAAGTAGAGGTATCCTGATGAGATAATGAAATATTATTCACATAAACAGCATCCAATACATTATACAGAGTACGCCTGGGTGGTATTTATCAGGTTTAGGACGGAATGCCCGATGCAGATGGCATTTCGTTTCTTTTATTGGGCTAAATCCCGATAGTATTGGCCTTCGGGTGAAGGGAAAAACAACTGTGGTGAATCCAATATCCAGCTCGTGGATAGAATTACCCACAGTGAATTTTCTCTTTTCCTAAACGTATAATGTTCTGCCACAGACATGCAATATTCTTAGCTCCCTTCTACCATTGTCCTGAGGCTTCAAACAGTCAGATCGAAATACTTCAGTCTAACCAGGCCCAGTTGCACGTTAAAGCGATTCAATCGACCTTTGTATTACCGCAAACCATGTGATTTTTTTATGAACCTGAGGCGGATGCGTACAGTTCTAGTGTTGTGAGATACTACTCACTTGTGAGTAGTACGAAAAAAGATGCGATCAGCGGTTTCTTTCAACGACCAAAAATGAACAAGACCTGTTGGAGCAAACTGATGCTGTTCGGTATGGTGAATACAAAAGTGCGCATCTGATAGTGGACAGTTCGAGCAACTGTCCTGTGTCTGTGTTGGAATTCTACAACCTTGTTCCAAATGAGGTAATTTGTATGCATGACAATTTAACCATATCCTGACCGTTAATGGCGGTTAACAACCATCCGTGAAGAGGCACCGCCTTGTGGAATTGCTACACTAGTAGTCCAACTTCCACAGAGTTATATATTCTTGTGACTTCACCTGATCCTCGCGAATGCGAGAGTTGTGTAGTAAGCTAACAAAATGCGAGAGTTCTTTAAGTCGGACGCAGAGCAGGTGCATCGATCGATTGAGGGTATTGTAATTATCAACAACACCCATGAAAATGGAAACCAAGCAAAAGGCCCTCAGATGCTTGTATTCAGTGGGTCCCGTTCAGAAGCTGTGATCAGTGACCCATCGCACTATCTTCCATCAGCACAGTACCTCGATGATTCAACAATCATGGATTTCGATCAACGAAGGGTGCTTCATTTCGTCTACTACTTGAACTTAACCGAAAGGTCAGTTTTGAGCCATTCATAAAGTCTTTGCCGCATCGCAAGCGATGAAAACCAAACATCTGTGTCTAACGAATCAGTATTTTTGTTACTGAAGCATAATCGTTGAAGACCTGTTTTGGAAACATATTTCTGAAGCTAAGAAAAGTGATATGATGAATGTAACACTGTCCCAGAAGCAGGTTAAGCGCATATCTGGGGATTCATCTGGTGGGAAGGTTGGAACTTGCCAGTCACCGCGGAAGAGTCGTTCATGGTTGACTAGAAATTTGACATAACCAGATCAAACTCAATCAGCTTTTCTCTTTTGGAATAAACTGGAGTCGGTTGTTTACACTCCATAGCCACATTCCTTGTATGAATTGAAAGGAAATATCACAATTGCATGGGAAAATATCCCCATGAAAGTCATATTGCAGGTCGATAGATAGTTTTGAAGCGAAGGACGGTACTTTGAACATCTGGTGTAGCCACCAATGTCAACTTAGACCTGACGCATTCAGCCAGATCAAAGTCCGTTGTCAATAATGCGCCTAAGTCGCAAAACTGCCAACCCCGTATTGCTTTTCACGCCCAGAGAAAAGTTAAAAACAGAACCGTCAGCTTTCTAAAACAAATACGCAAACGATTCTGGAGATTTAGGGGATCACTGAGCATGTAAGTTAAAAATAAAATGTAAAATAAATGTCTTTTTACTTCCTTTTTCTATTTATTGAATATAAAAATGTACAGCCAACTTTCAGGATGGGAGCTACGACCATACAAAGATTGCCCGGGGAAAATACAGATATAGGGAAGACGGGCAGCGGTGCAGCGGTTCGAAACCGGGACACCCAGATCATTAGTTGGTGACCTAACCACTTGGCCACCACCGCCTTAGTCTTGCCGGATAAAAGTACACATTAACCACAGTTGAATTTCCTGTTCAGCCAGGTTTCCCATCTGGNGTCACTTCCTTCAGACAAGGCCTAGAACGAGGTGCGAGGAAGGTGACAAGGACACAATCTACAAAGAGTAGCCAAGTGACGAAATTACTGCAGCCGCCTCAGACTATCTCCACTACCACAAGCACGATTATCACGATAGTTGAGAATCTTGACGACAGCCGAATGAAAAACCGAAAGACGAAATTTCAGTGAATAATCCTTTGATTTACCAGAAATTAAAAAAAAACAAATGTTTACCGCGGCAAAAGCACAACCGACCCCCATGAACTTTACGCGCTTAAGCTAGTTTGGTACCGGATGTTTGGGCCGTTCCATCCAAACACTTTTATAAACTTCATGTTGGTAATGGAGGATTTGGTTAAATTTCAAATGACAATTCGTCGTGTATACAGCAAATGAAGCGTGAACTGAAAAGCTCGGAAGCCTTGGACAGCTGTTTCGACCTGGAACGGTCTGATCAGCTGCTCGGTGGCGTAGTGGGTAGCACGCTTGCGTTCTGCCCATGTGCTTCCCGGTTTGATCCTCTGTCGGCTCGATGGGTTCGCACTGCTGATGAGACCCAACCAGGTCGAAACAGCTGTCCAGTGCTTCCGAGCTTTTCAGTTCACGCTTTTTTTGCTATATACACGACGAATTGTCATTTGGAACTTTTATAAACCTTGGCATATTCTGTAAAAGACCTGGATTCACACCCGTGTTGATGTCATTCCACTTCTTAATCAACGTTGCCTCTAATTCGGGTAAGAATAGTCGAGATGTTTTCTACTAAGTTTACATTGGGACTCTATGTCGCATGCCACACCACTGTTTTGGTGCCAAAAAGGATTATAAGCACTTTGTTATAAAATAGTTATGAATTGCGACATTATCATGCTGAAATATGGCTTCAGCCTGACCATTCGGTTCCATAGTGGGCATAAGGTAACTCTCTAACTGACGATTGTATGCATCAGAATCTGGCATCCTATATTGTGTAGCTAGTTTGGTTGAGAAGGCGCCATCACGAGGTTTCCATCGTTAATCCGCTTACTGAAGTTTTGCTCTTCTTTTTCCGTGCCAGTAGTAGCTTGACTCGTTCTGTCCATCTAAGCTAAATTTCAAAGCTTGAATATTCCCATAATAGCATTAAGAAAACCAGTCGGTGAACGAACAATTGTTTTCGGATATTCCTAGTCATGCTCTAACATATCATATAGTGGAAAAAAATAGTTACATAATGATAGCCATTGGCTCAGTTTAAGGTCAGCAATCGGAGGCAGAGAGTAATGGAGGTGTATGCGTGTGTCTGTGTGCGTGCGCGTAGGAATGTTTCTTTTTGTTTCTAGATTAGACGAAATTCTATTCGTTTTTCCAAGTCACATGAGTTACTACCCAGAGAAAAACGTTTTTCTGTTTGTAAAATTGTTAGAGTTACGCATAATTCTTCGAAATTTCGTCAGTTATCGGCTAGATTATCGAAAACGGTGCATGTGGAACCAGAGTTGATCCAAACATCCATTGAGGAGGGTGCTTGTAGTATTTGTTATCGAGGGGTGTATCTGGCAGTTTTTAGAATGACTCTGGGTACCTCTGCATGATAGCAACCACAAACAGTTGTGCCTGAGCTGTAGTTCACTCTAATAGTGTCCGGCTTTTCGGGTTCAATAACCAACAGAACTAAACGAGGTAGAATAAAGTCAAATCATTTAATAAAATGAAATGTTTTTTAAAGTTAAACTTGGAACCCTGTTAGCAGACGAGCCTACTAAACGAATAAGCGACGACTGCTGGTGAACTTTAAGAACCAACTGTAGCGATTTTCAGGCAGAAATGAAAGTTTCAGTTTATTTTTACAACCATGAAGCATGCGTTTTCATGACTCTTCAAGTATTTAAAAAGATAATCAAAATAGTTATATGTTGGACCGTTGCCAGGGTGCAGAAGTGCATAATTTGCTCTATGGAAATATAAATGAATGGTTATTAATGAAAACATTTTTGGTAAATTTTCTAAGCTCAGTTATGGGTAAAAAGGACATCGCATTCTGCGGAATAGAACCGTTGGCATTCCGGTTTCATACCGCATGGAGTGAGTTTTGGAAGTGTGAATCCTACTTTCTCCATTCACAAATACGATGCATTGACATCCGGAGTGCTCCATTGCCCAGCCTAGTCAATAGCAAGGCCAGAAATGGCAGTAAACCGTTATTTTCTCATTATGTTACTCATTTTAATCTAATGAATCAAAGGTGAAGGATGTTACCAATTTCCCCAAGAAAATTACATGTGGTGCAGTTCTGATTATATTCCTTGTTTAAGATTTGGGGACCAATCGCTCTGGCTTTCCGGTTATAGGTGTTTCTGCAATTAATGCGCACATTCCAAATCGAAACGAGAAAAAGAACAAAAATATCAACCTTATGTGGTCGTGAAGCGAAATTGTGCAGTAAAAATCCAAATGTATCAAAAGTATAAAAATGAAATACTGATGTGAACTTATTTGGAAACTTCAAATCGTTAGGATAACTATTTCAGGGGTATTCGTTTTCACGTTGGGATCTATCAGTAGTTTATGTGATGCCCGACTACTCTTATGGTTTATCAAAAATTTTCTGTATTTATTTAAAAAGACAGGGAAAGAACTACGAATGATAAACGACAATTCCTTATGCATCGTGTGATGGGAGATTCTTCGAGGTTTGTAAAATAGTGCTGTCAAATTGCCATCAGTCTGAGAGATTTTCGGACAAACCGGTGTGGATAACCCCTGTCTCTTCATGTTTGTCAATTGTACGGAATGAATGAACTGTCAATAGTAATAATAATAATAATAATTACTATTATGAAGATACTAGTAACACTGTCGATTGCATTTTAGGGTATATTTTAAGCTCCCTGCACTTCCTGTTTGTATTACTACCAGGCTGTAGAGTTTCCAACGTTAGGTTCATTGTCGTGCAGATATATGCAATATATACGTATGCATAAGATTTTTTTTAAGTGGCTCAAAATAAGGTGATTCCATTTGATTATTTTTTCTATAAACACCCAATGCATTCATCTGGTTTCTTGTTTTATATTTTGATCTACGTTTGATTGGAAATCTGAATTTTTTAATTTACTCCATCTTCTATAACCACATACCGCCGCATAGGACAATTTTGACTCAGGCTATCTGTACAAATGCCGTCTCAGTGATCCTCCAATGTCTGTTCAAGACGCTTTTGACCGAGCCAAAGCAGAGGTGCAGAAAATGGCCGATTTGGCGACTGAAAATACCTCTAATCCACCTGAAATGCCCACACTAGAGGATATGGAAGCAATAGATAAGCGATTGATTCCCAGCGAACCGGTCGAGGCAGCTCGAGTGAACGGACGGACCACAATCACCTACTGGAAGTTCTCAGGTTCTGGAAAGCGTTTGTTGATCGGTATGAAAGATGGAACCATTCGTGTACAACTACTGGAACGTCCATTTGATATGACCAGTTTTTCTGGCTATTGGAATTTTCGGATGCATGATTGCACCCGGGGAGGAGTAAATCGCATAACACTATCGCATGATGAAAAGTAAGTGATTGGTAACTCGGTCATGATGCAGGGCACAACGTTTGTGAACTGTGGGAATTTTGTTAATAATATTCGGCAGGGGTCCTATGTTCTGTTGCCTGGTAGGTTGCCGAATGGGGTAACTAGTTTTGAAACATCCAACGGTGTGGGATATTTTGTTGGAAAATGTTGATGTTTAGACGAAAAAGGGAACCAAATTATCTGTTATGCGTTCCGGGGACAGCAAAGCTTTCCACTGTTAACTTATGTTCAGTGTTTTTACATGTTTGATGAATTAATTTGATCTGGATGTTTCTATCAATGATCGTCCTTGTTTTGTCTTGCCTTGTCTTTTCAAGGCAACTGTTACCGACCAGGTGTGTCCTTAAAGGTTCTAGTAAAGTATTTGCATGTGTGCAACAACCGTAAAATTTATCCAAGTTAACGACCGTCAAGCAACAAAGTTTTCATTTGATCAAACAAATTTTTCAGAATATTTTCAAAAATCAGTGCTGTTTTTTCCAGTGCGGTACATGTGAAATCCGATCAAAACTCACTCAAAACCCACTACCTCTCTACTGTTGTTACCGGTTTACAACGTGCAGAGTTTTGCTTTCAAAATACAAACGTTCATTCCCTTTTCATGTTAGACTAGTTTTATTTAAGTTCAGTAAGATTACACAATAATCTCTAGTGTTTGCCTAAACCGTTCAATTCATCGTTCAGTGTTCACATCATTCCTCTTTACCATGGATCTGTCCACTTTGCCGCAACAAATATTGTCGCGGTTTTTGTTTAGGGAACAACGTGCTATGATGAACAACTCAAGGAGACTTATTGTTCAATTATGCGAACGGTAAAATAAACCTTGTGAGTGGCAGAGCAAATTAGAACCCACCAGGAATAGCGTGCAATTGAGCCAGACGATCACGAAGCTGTCTTCCATCAAGGAAAAGCTGAAACCATCTGCTGATAGCTTTGAAGTCAATTGAATGCAGTTCAGCTGCATAGAGCATTAACTGATCCCGGAACATTAAACTGAAATTAAAGATGTTCGCTTGTGGCGCCTTCTGAAACCACCGCCACATTCGGAAATCAATCAATAGATGTGCACCACTGCCAGACCAACTTATCGGGTTGCTGATAAAACTGTTCCTTCTGGCTCGATGATCGCTTATTGATCCTGAAAATGGAATCAAATTTTATTTTTTGGAAATATATATATTTATTCTGCAAGTAATTGTCATCAATTATCCAGTCAATGTTAAAGCACTTATCTTGCAAGCCCTTCCTCCACCCAATGCCTTTCCACTGGACATACTAACAATCTGATTTTACCATCTCCCCACTTTTTTCCTCGAGTTATACAATGTGCTGTAATTGACTAATAGATGAAACACTGAAATCTAACTCGTTGGCCACAATGTTGTTTTTCGAAGTCTTGTTTAGTTACGCGAGCAATCGGTCAACCTGTGCTTAATGGTGGATAATTGTAGACGAGAAGGGGAAACGATATAGCCCTCGTGATATTACGGCCATCTCGTTGGCTAGCGTGAGGGTGCGTTCATGCGCGTATGCTTGTGTGCTAGGTACAACACTGCATTACACCATGAACCGTTGTGACTTCAGTCCCCGATCCTAATGGAACCAGTGTGTCATTCTATAAACTGACGGTTGACATTTCAACATGTCTCGCAAGTGACACAGATAACATCCGCACAAGCCCAATCTAAGCATGGGTTCTTAGCAAACGATGAACTTCGCTTGGTGTTGATTTTTAACCAAAAATAGTTAATAATTTGGTCAAGAAACTACCGACCATAACATAGAACCGCAGTTCGTGGCACACATAACACAGCAATTGTTGAAATTACTACTCAACATTACCAGTTCAGAAGAGTAAGAAACATATTACACACCATATTAAAAATAAAATGCATTGAATGTCAATCAATTTCTTATTGATCAATTTTTCTCAGTTCTATTCAACATACTTTCCTGTCAATTTTTGTCTCAGGTTCCTCATGAGTATAGGTGACGATGGCACATTCTTTCTTTGTGAACTGATGTCGGAAGAGCTACAGAACAAAGAGATTACAGAGTTTCGGGCACGCATTCCGTCGGCTTACGTGAGTTCCTTGAACAACATCACCTTTTGTTAGTTCGAGGGTAGTCTTATTCACCGGTGGGGAAATGAATTAGCAAGCTTGTCCGTTATCGATTACGTAACGAATTATAGGATAGAACTGTCAAACTGCATTCGCTGTTGCATAATACACCCAGATTCTTGTGGACTGAATTTGAATCATGCACAAAGTAGCGATGCTTGTGCAGTAGATTATTTTTAGCACGCTGTTGATCTTGTGCGTCTTACTTTTCAGATCTCTTG